GGCAGGGGAGCTTATCCTTGCAGATTAGAAACCTGTCTAGAGTTTTTAAGCCAGTGAATAGTGAAAGGAGAGACAAACAGGAGAAGAGTCAGACAGAGATGGAAAGGTGAGTGTGCTTTCTACAAGATCTCAATGGATAGAAATGGATAGATAGAGCTCAGGAATCTAGATTGTTATTGAATCTGCTGGAAATGTCTTAGTACACATCATTGCTATATCTTTGTGCTGTAGTAATTATCATTTGTTGTTTTATTATCACACACTTAAGATTGTGTACCACCCAACAACATAAAAGTGGAATCCTCAGGACTTGGACCCTCAAACTCTTGTTTCCCAGAAAGTTCAATCTTCAGGTGGATTCTCCCACTATTACATTTTTAGAGATATGGCTGTCTCTGGGGTGGAGGACATAAAGACTTTAACTTAAATATCACAGCTAGAGGGACTAGGTTAAACAAGACTCAGTCACAAGTCACCATTCAAGGTAAGTCTATACCAATGTTTAAATCACCTAATCTTTCACACAAGCATAAAAGTCAGTTATTCCTCCACTGACTTCTACTGTTATCACCTAGAAAACTCAGGACGTGGCTTTTAATAATAGTAATCAGCAACAACAATAGCACCACAGGCCAGCAGCCCTGATATTCTTCCATTTGATAGATTTAATAAAAGAATGGAGTATATTGATATTTCCTCCCACTATTAATTTTGCTAGCCATTGAATTTCACCCTTTTTCTATCTTCCCACATCTTCAAATTGTTAAGGTTATTTTCAATTTCAATCCTGTTCCTAAGGCTTTACAGCACATCCAACTTGCTGCTAATGGGATATTTAATAGGCACACTAATTTCACTATCCAAAGAATTAATGAAATTTCTAAGGACCACAATAGAACTCCTTTCAAAGTATCTTCTCTACTTTCAAATCACAATGACCCATTGACAAATACTCTCAATTTGTGCCTACTGTGTACTTAAGAGTAAAATGAGATAAATCCTATTTTTTGCCATTTCTTGATGACTATGACAAGTGAGACTACATTTTAAAAGCTTCTAGAGGCATAATGAAGAGATGAAACACATCTATTTGCACTTATCTGACAAAATAAAGAATAGTAACTCTATCAGGTAGGATACTTAGTCTCCTACATATTTTTCTATGATTTTTAAGATCTTTGAATATTTAGGCTTTCACTGTTAATCCAGTAGGTTAGAAGTATAATTTCATAGCCAAACATACCTGGGACCAAAAGCTACTTATCCACTACGCGAAACTAGGAAAAAGAGAAGAAAAGAACAGCTTTTCTCATTTTCCCCCTGCACCTCAGCATCTTTATTTGTAAAACAGACAAAATATTTCCTGGCTTTTAACATTGTTCCAAGGACTAAAAACGTACACTAAAAGTTTATAAATTTAGTTAAAAGCTTTTTTTCCTCTCATTTGAAAGGATATATCTATACCATAATATTTCACTGCAATCAAGTAGTAACTTCAGATGCTTGCATAAGAAATTTGTGTAAACTGCAAAGTAGAACTGTCCCTTCCAGTGGATTTCACACATTTGTATGATTTTTGGTTGATTTCTTACACCCTGGGATGGGTAAAATACTTCAGGCCTATCTCAGAGTCAACTAGAGTACACGTGTCCAAGCCCCCAGCTAATTATGGGTATCAAAAAATTGTTATTAAATTCTGTAGGCTGTTTTCCCTTCTAAAAGAATAACTTATAATAGTACCTGGCTCGTCACTTTTTAAAAATGTTTTCTTCAAAGGATTATACAAGATTTGAAGCACCTACCATGGTCTCTGGCTCACAGTAACATTCGACAAACGACTATTACATCATGATAATATAGCGTAAATTGAATACCCTTCCTCTGAAATACTTGAGGCCAGAAGTATTTCAAAATATGGATGATTTAGGATTTTTGAAAGATTTCCATATATCTGATGAGAGTGGAAACCAATTCTAAACATGAAATTCATTTATGTTTCATGTACATTTTGTACATGTAGCCTAAAGATAATTTTGTGGAATACTTTTAATAATTTTGTGGATGAAGGAGTTTTTCTACCTTGGCATTGTGTTAAAATTCAAAATGTTCAGCTTTTGGAATATTTTAGATTTGGGGTTTTTAAAATAGAGATGCTCAATCTGAACCCCTCGAATCTTACTAATGAGAAACAAATCCTTACATATCTACCAGAATTCTACTTGCCCATATCTCCCTGATTACATGGTACCTTCCACGAAAGCGCTGACTAGGCCTATTTTATGCAATTTTTAAAATACTCACCCTAGAACAGTGCCTGTCATGCAATGAAATGTCCAATAAAAGTGAAAATTACAGGTTAATTTTGGATGACCTTATGGATGCATATTTTTTTGATTAATGCCAATAAGTTTGATCCTTAAAGTTCCTCCATCCTATAGTTTTTATTAACATCACCTCATGAACTAAGCTTTCCAACTTTTAAATACATCAGCATTTCACATAAGATATTTTGGGGTTACTTTTCTAGACTTCTCCAACATGATTTTCTCAAAATTTGTGAATCTTCATGCCAAAAATGCATTTATGACAAATATAAGCTAATGGTTCTAAAATGATTCATGATGGTTGTATAGAGATAAGATTCTCAATCTCCCTCCAGTCTTTGACTAAGAGAAGATAATGACTGACTATCCCTAGAAGATCCAAGAACACATGAAAATATTTTCTCCTATGCATGGACCAAAGATCTTTCAAGTGTCACACTAAGTCCCAAGGACACATGCAGAAGCACAAAAGGATAATCGTTAGAATACTCATCATATTATTTTTCATAGTTGTGAAAAATGAGAGTATAAAGTATATCTATAAAATATAGTGACAGTTTGAATTATAGTTTGTTTCAACTATAAAATTCTGTGTAGCTACGAAAAACTGTAGTATCTAGTATTAAAGTCTATGAAAGTTTCTTCAAGTTATATGGTTAAGTGAAAAAAGACAGTTTCAAGTTCTAATTAATCACTGCTAAAATGACAATAACATGAATTTTTAATCAAATGGCCAATGAGGCAAAGATAACAGGAGTAGATGCAGAATTGTGGGAGATGAAAATTAAATTAGAATGGGGTTACTCTCTTGTAAAATTCAAAAATGAATCAAAAACTTAAACTGACCCATGGAAGGCCCCAGAGCAGAGAGTTTATGCCAAGAAACCTTAGAATTTCTTAAGAATTAGAAATTCCACCTAACTCTGAAAGAAGCAGTTCATACAGTTCAGAAAACAATGCTGCTGGAATATCATTTCAAAAAAGAATTTACATCAACGATCACTCTCAAATCCCACCAGCAAGGTAAAATTGTTCTCCTACTGCTGTATCAGTCTTGAGCTTTATTCTCTGGAAAAACTGATTTTAAAAATGAGATTTGAAGTCACCTGACACAAATAAGGTTAGATTACCATGCAGAACATGCATGGATTCAGTGCAACTTTAAGTACTGAATTATGACTTCCCAAAACCCCTTTTATCGTTCACGTTCAAAAACAATAAAGTCTCAACTTCCAGTCTGGTCTCCTGGCTTCACTCAGCATTAGTTTCTTCAAAATTCTTTTGCTCTGCAAATTTCAACTTTAAACAAGATCTCAGAGGGAATGCTTAACCTACTAAAGAAAATAAGTGTTTTAATCAAAAGGTCTACCTGGAAATACTATACTTGGTATTAATTTTTTTAATTATATACATCAGCTTCAAAATAGCATTTCTTAGCATAAACTCGATAGTTTACACTTTTTCATTAAAGCTCACTTGTATTTTTCCCAGGTGATTTGCATTAAAATCATTATATTAGGAGAGTTTACTGTAATGATTCTCATAGTTTGAATAGTGAGAGATGAGAGACCTTATTTTCCCCCAACCCTCTCTCAACTCCCAACAAGAGTGTAAATCAAGAAGTCAATTAGGTCTTCTTAAATTATACATACACAGACTTACATCCAAAATTCTGTAGGCCTATCAATTTATTCCACTAGAGTCATTATGCATCCTTACATGGACATAATGAGCATGTAAGTAAGGTGGAACAGAAAATAAGGTAAGACTTATGTCACTATTCAAGACAGATATATGGCCAAGCTGAATTACTCCACCAAATTTGAGTTTTGGGCAGCACTGAGGAGACTTGACTTCTAAAGCCTTTTTCTTAATTTTTAACATGTAACATTCTTTCATGTAAATGGCATTTAATCTCCCTCATACAAACTAGTACATGAGCATGTTTGGCCAGCCCTCCCTCCCATTCTGTGGGAAGACATGAAACCTAGACAGTCTGAGTGATTTCATGGCCTAGAATTTTTCAAAATGAAGCTAGCATGGAAAGGACAGTGAAAATTGCTTTTCTCTCCATTTTGATCTACAATATCACATGAGAAAAGAGGTGCCAGAGAACGTGCACTCTATTTCAGGAATAAACCCACTTAAGAAAATAAAGCTTGAAATAGAGAAGAATATAGATGAAGGAGGAAAATAGAATTTGGAAAGAATTTAGATCTTTGATCTTCCAGTCTTAAGAATTTTCCTTTTTCGGGGCTGGGGATTTAGCTCAGCGGCAAAAGTGCCTGCCTGGCAAGCGCAAGGTCGTGAGTTCGGTTCCCGGTACCGGAGAAAAACCAAAAAAAAAAAAAAAGAATTTTCCTTTTTCTTAGACTAGTCTTAGATTTGGTTGGATATTTGCTCTTTACAATCTAGAGAGTCATGTTAATAACAATTTGGTTTTAGGTTCTAAATTCTGAGAGAAAAATCAGGTTTGATAGACATCATATTAAGAAGATACAGTGGTGGTGGTATGAAAAAGATGATAGAAAAGATAGCCCAGCTCTTTTCAACACTTTCCGAATTCCATGAACAGCTTCAATATCACCAAAGTACTGTGTTAGTCAGCTTTCCACTACTGTAACAAAACACTTGAGGTAATCAAGTTAGAAAGAGAAAAAATTTCTTTTAGCTCACAGTTTTGTAGGTTCCAGTCCTTAATCAGTTGGCTCCACTGGCTTTGAACTTGTAATCACTTGGCTCCATTGGCTTTGAACTTATGCTGAGGCAGCACATTGTGGCAGAAGCATGTGATGGAGAACAGCTGCTCCTTCATGGACAGAAAGCAATAAATAAATAAATAAATAAAGAGGGAGAAGTGAGGAGGGGGCCGGAGTCTCATAATCTCTTTATGATCAGACCCCAGTGACTAAAGACTTCCCACTCTACCCCTCCCCCAAGGGCTTCACCACCTCTCATTAGCACCCTCAGAATTTAGCCTTCAACACAAGAGTCTTTAAGAAATACTCAATGTGTAAATTATAGCAGTATGAATCATAGGTACTATAAGATTACAGTATCCCCATTTTTATAGTTGAGGACATTCAGTCATGAAGTGTGAGCTGACTTGCCTAAGATTATACAGATAAAAAGTTGCATAATCAGGATTTGCACCTAAATACCCTGGCTCCAAGCTCCACACTCTAAACCTCCCCAACATTCTTCCTCATCATGATGATCAACTTGTGTCCCCCAAACTGAAGCAGAGAGACTGATGTGGCTCTCAACTTTGAGAATGTTTCACCTTCTGAACATTTTACCTGTTTTGACATTTCAGATCTTACTGAAAGAAGCCCCGCTTCACTGCCTGGATTTACATGTGAATTTCTTGGAAAATACCCTAGGGAAACAGCTCCATCTGTAAGTAAATGGAACATGATAAATGATGACAGTCTAATGGGAAGTGCTTGACAGAGGCTGAAAACCCTGAACTATTTCTGCTTGACTTGTGGTTTGACCTAGATCCAATCACTCCACCCTTGACCTTGCTGGGCTCTGCCTACTTCTGATTTAATAAATGGCTATTTTCAATGTCTGCTCAAAATAGAAAGAGGGCATTTTTAAAGCAATACATAAAGTCCTTCATATTTCTTAAAAGATTTTAACAAGACAAATTTGAGAGAAGCTTTTATGCTCACGGTAATGCTACTCACTCAAGTCTGCTAAGCGCTAGCCATGTGCCAGCATTATGAAAAGTGTTTGCAATAGCTTATGTAAGCCTCAGATGAACCAAGGATACCACTGCTATCCTCATTAAACAGAGAAGGCCACAAATTTGGGCTACTTAAATTACTTGTGGGTCTTTATGTAATGTGATACAACATGGTGTGACACCTGTACAATGTGCTAACATGGCTAACCTATGGTACCCAACCAATCTGGATGTTGCTGTGATGATACTTTTTTATATGAAATTTACATTTGAATCAGTAGATTTAAATAAGGCAGATTACTTTTCATGATGTGAATGGGCTGTTGGGGACCACACATTCACAATGGCTAATTTTATATACTCCCTAAGGGATGGACAGAGGTTTGGGATTATTGGTATCATCCTTTTCGAGATCTTCCATTATCCCATTAGAAGTGGGCCACCCTCTCCCACCTACTAAGACTAAGACTAAGACTACTAAGACTAAAGGCACTGCAGGGCAAGATTCTCATTACCTTAAGATCACCACCTCCCTGTGAGTCATCCAATAATCCCCTCAACATTTTCCTCAATCAATTAATACCAAGGTTCCGGCTGCCTCCTTCATGGCCTTTGGTTGAAAAACTGAACATCCTAGATCCCTGCTGTCTGTTGCTTGTTTGTTGCTTTTTCTCTCACATGTGCACCACAATACCTTGCAGGAAACTGGAGGTTCACTACAGGGGTCCTGCATAGTGGGCCTTGTCCAGATGCAACAGCAAGCACAAACACTAAAAGGATTCCCAGGATTAGGAGGTAGACTTATTTACATTGACACGCACTGATCAGGATCATTCCCAAAATATCAGACCCTGATCTCTGGTGATCTAGAGCTTATATTAGATAAGCAAGCAGGAAGTACAGTGTCACTTGGGGATTGGTTTATACAGCGTGCATCATAGTGACCAGCTGTGCATCACAGTGACCAACGGTTTCTAAGAGACAGAAGCAATCAGATCTGGAACAGGAACTATTACCTAGGCAACTAACTAACTGAAGTACACTGGGGGACAGCATTTTCTGCTACATTTACCCCCTCTTTTAGTTTCCTAAAATTTTGGGTCTTTTCAGACTAGGCATATTTGCTGGGCATATTATATGTGATTTTCTGAGACAAGGCCCAACTAGAATTTAGGCCTGTCTGTTCTGTAACAGTACTCTGGCAAGGTACTGAGGGAGTTAATCTGATCTAGGAGAGTGTCCAGTGTGCCTTGGATGCTCATCAAATCTTGGTCAAGTGTTTGATTGTTTTATTTTCTTGGGGCAACTGTCCAGGCAGTTTAAGCCAAAAAAAAAAAAAAAAAAAAAAATCAGCTAGCAGAGGGCCAAGACGCAAGGACTAGAGTAACTAGAATCCAGGTCAATTAACAAACACTAGAGCTAGCAGGGAGACAGTGAAACAAGAACTGGGATAAGCAGCCTGAAAAGACACAAAAATCAAGAGGAAGAGTCCAAAGAAGTTACTGACAGTTGTCCCATGTTGGCAAGTGGATACATAGGTGCCGAGCCAAGGTGGAAGAGTTCTGAACCACTCATGGCAATTGAGTCTGAGTGAACCAATCTGGGAGACCAGGAGGCTGTGGTGCAGGAGACAGAACTGGTGGTGGTGGTGTGGCAGCTGGTTGAGCAGCTTGGGGTTGATGAACAAGAGGAGGAGGCAGGTCAGACTCAGGGTCTTTGGGCAGAACAGGATAAAGCTTTTCTGGCTTGGGCTGAATCTGAGACCCTCTCAGATGGCCTTGTGGGCTGTTTTGACAACTTGGATGGCTTTCTTTTCATGAAGGACAAAGGTACAGGTCCATAGTCCTTACAATTCATAACCAGATGGTATGGTCATCTATGAGACTGGATTTTCCTACATATCAGGTGCTTTTTTATCATGTTTCTGGGAAACAAGTAGTTGATGGGCTTTTTGTCCCCCTTTTTGCTGTGTTTGAGAAATGCTCAACTGGGTTGTTTCTAGTTGAGGCAGCCTTTAGAAAGGCCATGGCAACTCATTCATCAGGGATGACAGTCCAATTTTTCCTGTCAAAGTGTGGAACTCAGAAGGGACAGTTGGCAACCACTTCAGGTGGGCATTAGATGATGCTATCTGACCAAGATAGGCATGTAAGCAGAGGGTTCTGGAGGGAGGGCCTCTGTCTGGGATGAATGCAAGTAATGGCTAACTGGAACCAGTTCAGCTGGCTGGAAATAGAGAAGTCAGGAGTGGGTAGTAAAGTTATAGGTGTTAGCAACTCCCACAGCAGCCAAGGGTGCCAAGGTGGAATTCTCAGGAAGAGTGGGCCTCTTTTTCTTTTTTTTTCCTTTGAGATGCAGAGAACAGTTTGGTTTCATTTTTAACTCCATAGAAGCCCCTTTTCCTGCAATTAAGGACTGTGGGTTTTAACTAATTAGTTCCTATTTTATCTCCCTACAGTGTATGTTGTATACCTTTGAATGATGATGCAACACAAAAAAGGTGGGTGCCCATCAGAGAAAGATCATTCAAATGCCCACCTGGCTATGCCCCTCACAGGTACTCAGGCACACCTTTTCTAAGGAGGGTGGGAGACCTCAGCTATGCCATATGTCAATCACCACAGAACCACAGGTGAGGGCCCGATCAGTCCCCATTCAGAGGTTAAACATTCCAACCCCTTCCCATTGAGGGTGGCCTTAACTAACAAGAGTTGACCAAGCTCTTCCGCTTGAACTAAACAGGACTTACAGACTGACTAACTAGGGTGCTCCTGGGGATCTAACCAGAATCAGGCAGGTAGGCAGGCAGGCAGACTGCATCCTCCTCCCTTTGGGGTCCTATGTGAGCTGTTCAAGTGGGGATCCAGGAGTCCTTCAGGGGGCTTGAGAAATCTTGAGGGTGCACCTTCCCATCAGGACCTGGAGAGGTCCTTGCTCATTTCTCAAGGACCATGACCAGTGACCAAAGAAGTCAGCATGGTCAGTCCTCCCAGCCAATGCACCAGATGGAATGGAAGGCAGAAACATCAAAATGACCCCCCAGATTTATTACATGCCAATAGGCACTGGTTGTGATCATTTCCAAAATATCAGGCACTGATCTCTGGTGATCAAGAGCTTATATTGGATAAACAAGCAGGAAGTAGAGGCAGAATGGTTTGTCAGTTGGGACTTAGTTTATACAGTGTGCATCATAGTGCCCAACTATGCATCATAGTGACCAACCATTTCTAAAAGACAAGGGCACATGGATCTGGAACAGGAACCATTACCTGGACAATTAATAAACTGAAGTATACTGGCTGGGGAGGTATTTTCTGCTACACAATCAGTTGAGGACTTTAAGAAAAAAAAGAGATTCCCCAAGGAAGGAAGAATTTCACATCCTGACTGCCTCTGGAATTCAGATACAATATCAGCTCTTCCCTAGGTCTACAGCTTTCTGACTTGTCATGAAAAATTCCGACTTGCTGGCCCAGTTCCTTAAACTAACTAGTAGTATATTATAGAATCCTACTGGTTCTCTTTCTCTGGAGAATCATGATTAACACATATAGTAACTGGAAGACTTTGGATTTGAACTGAGGCAGTCTGACTCAAAAGCATGCCCCAAGATGTTTCTCAACGGATAAAATTTTCATTAGCCATTTTAACTCTCCATGGGGCCAAAATGGGTGTTTCTGAAAACTGACAGTACCTTTGGTTTGCAAGGAAAAGCAAATGTAAGACATTCTATCATTTTCTTCTAAATATGTCCAACTTTCCCATAGTCCACTTTTAAATTAAACTGTCAAATGTCTTGGCATCCTGATCCCCAAGCCTTATGTGATTTGCCATCTCTCCATGCAAAATGGCACTGTCCACAGCTATTTGGCCCATGATACCCTCTTCAGGAGAGACTATGTGGAAAATTGCCCTTGAATTTAAAACTAATTTAAGATTCAATCCAGGGCACATGGTACATGTATGGAGAGAAGGGCCAGGGCTAACAGAAAAGAGAGGCTGCTCAATATGAAATGAGCATCCTTTAAAATCAGGCAAATCTGGGGCTGGGGATTTAGCTCAGCGGCAGAAGTGCCTGCCTGGCAAGCGCAAGGTCGTGAGTTCAGTTCCCGGTACCGGAGAAAAACCAAAATAATAATAATAATAATAATAATAAAAATAAAATCAGGCAAATCTATGTTCAAATCCTGACTTTCATACAAACTCCCTTTATAACTGTGAGCAAACAGCCATGAATCTCAGAGCCTCATTTTCCTACCTATGCAATGGGCATGGCTGTACCTCCCTTGGAGTACTGCTTGAAAGGTCAAAGCTGTGTGCAAAGTAAAAACACAATAAAGATATTCAAGATGCCAAGCTCTTACCATTAGCAACATTTCCAGAGGGGAAATTAAAGCCTAATGTCTCTTTCCAAAGCTCACTTTTAACCAGACTGCTGTTGTTTCACCATGTTTCATTGACATTTCTGTGATCTGGGGTAAAGGCTAAGTCTACAATTATTCCATCTACTCTCTGGTTTGGCAGCATGTCACAGAGAAGGCATTCAAAAGCCTGGCACTCCCTTTAGAAACTGCAAAAATAAGGTGAAGGGTGGAATCAAAAATCAATTTAGTTTTGGTCTAGGTAGCCTTTTGTTATAATATTCACTGAACAATATAATGGTTCCTTGGCGGTGATGACAGGGGCCACAGAAGAAACAGTCCAGTCTTTTGTTTTTTGATGCAAGCTTAGTCATTTTTTAGCATATTTGCAGGAAGGATGCCAATTAGTTAAACTCAGGTAAGCCCTGGGGATACTTATTCCAAGCTTTGGGTTATATGACTGCTGTCTACACTTAATTTTGCAAATAAAGGTTGCTTTTTGTCTCTCAAAATAAAATTAATTCATAATCCTTATAAAATATCTGGAAAAGTTAAAAAGTAGGCAGAACAAAAAGTGACATTTGTGGTCTCAGGAATCAAAAGTGACTTTTGCCGACATTTCCATAAATTGTTTGTACTTTTAAAAAGCTATTAATTTACAGGGTCTGCTGACACTTTGATTAGATATTACATCACATATTCAATCACACTAAATCAGAGGTTAGCAAACTCTGGCATGCAAGCCAGATCTGGACTGCTGCCTGTTGTCAATAAAATTGTGCGAGGACATAGCTATGCCCATTCATTTACATATTGCTTATGTCTGCATTCACACCATAGTGCCAGAGTTGAGTAATTAATGCAGAGAAGACACAGTCCTCAAAGCCTAAAACACTGACCATCAAATGCTACAGAAAACGCTTTCCAACCCCCACCCTAGACAACTTGCCACTAAGTCATGCACTCATGACTGTGAGGTACACTGGGGTTCCTACTTCCATCTCATTTACTATCCTCTTAAATCCTAACCATCTTCTCATTCCCACTACAAAGACCCTGTGTCAGGGAAACTTCCCCTTATAGATTAAAAATAGGAAGCCAGCTCTTCCTCTGCTAAGCCCTTATAGATCTTTGTCTCTATTTTTCTTAAAACCTTCTCCATTTTAATATACATTAAAGTATCTTTTTTTACCATCACTGAGCTCAGTGTAGAGCTCATAATTCAGTATTTGCTGGAAGGACAAAACTACTAAGATAAATTCCTCATGTTCAAGGACTGTACAATCTAGCCAAGAGAAATAGCACTGATCACATTAAAATAAATAAATATGGTCTTATTGTAAGGATTTTTAAGAAAAGGAAGCTGTAGGTTGGTGTAATAGAACCAGGGAAGGCTTACCAAAAAAGGAGAGAATGAATTGGGCCTCAAAGGGTGGTTCTGACCCAGGTAGAGAAACAGTAAGGACAAAGCAGTAATAGAGACAGGAGAATAGAAGATATACAGCTTTGTCTACTGTGATGGAGAATGAGCTCAACAGAATGGAGGCTGAGTTCAGGTAGGAGGGAGAAAAAGAAGAGACACAGAGTATGGCTGGGAAAACATAGAATAGGACCTTGAAAAACAACCATATAATCACCATTGAGGAGCCTGAACTGAGTTCCCTAAGCAGCAATGCCTGACCAGCATTCCCTCAGCTATCAGCCTGTTTAGAATTCTACAGTGTAACATCATCATCAGTTTGTTTCTGCAACACCCTGTGTCTTAATGAGCATCATTTGTAAAATATTTGAATGAGGCTTGTCCCCAGCTCAGAGCTGCATGGGAAGGTGAAGATGAACACACTCACCCTGTGGTCTCCCAGAGGACTTTCTGCATAATCTTCTTCAAGGCACAAATCAGGCACTGTTGTAATTGTCTCTGTTTACATGATCACATTCCCCACTAGGCATGAACTTCTCCAGAGTATCTAATTATGGATTTTTAATTGTAGGAGGAAAAAAAAAAGCCCACTTGGGCTAGTTTAAGTAGAGCAAAATGTTTCTGGAAGCTATTGCAACACAACTGGTGGGGAAGAGTTCACCCAGTCCTCAGCAGAACTGAGGGTTCTGCCCCTCTCCTTGGGGCCTTCTGTACTTCCCTGTTTGCTGAGCTCTCGGTCCTTGTCCTCCCTTTTCTCTGAAGCTCAGCTTTCTTCTCAAAACAAGCTATATTTCATGGGTTCTAGAATTCACATTTTCCCACATTTAACATGCTTATGTCTTGTAAATTGCTTAATTTCTAGTCATATAAGATGCAGCTGACAAAAACGAGCAGGGATGGTGGGTACACTGAGGGAGAAAAGCACAGCACCCAGACTTGAGAATACTATTACTACACCAGAGGGGAAAATGCACCAACCCAAAGGTAAATCCAAAAAGCTGGACTTTGATTACAAAGATTTAAAAGCAGTTTAGTAATTTACTTTATTTGTATCTTCCTTTTTATGAGAAATAGGAAAATGCTTAAAGCATGAAATATGAGAAAACTTTAAGATTGAAATGGTCTAAAGGATTTCTTTCAATAGGGATAAGATAACAATTTTATATTACCATGGTATCAAGCCAAACTGGAAGTGGAAGTTTGTATCTTTCCCAGCAGTAGAACTTACAGTTGATGAGTTTTATTAGTGATGTGCCATATCTGCTGCTTCTCCATGACTGTAGGTTATGAAGGTCTGTGGATTACCAGGTCTTCACAATACAACTCTCAATGCCATTGAAATGCAAACTCAATTCTGACTACATCTGTGCTTTCTTTTTACATTCCCAGGAGAAAGCATACATTTCTCCCATCTTTAATCAGATATCCACCTTGACAAATTCTGCTAGGAGAAACAAGAAGGTCCTTGTAAGGTACCTGAGACACTTAGTGTATGGAGTAAGACCATCACTCTTGGTGTCTATCTACACAGAATAATTCAATGTAGAACTCAGTGACTGATGAGTCGAATACTTTTGCCATCGGCAATGGCAGCTTCATGAGGGCCAAGTAGGCATTTAGAAGGAAAGCAGGACAAACAACTAGTCAATGAGGGCTTCTGAGGAGTAGAAAAGTTTGCCCTCAGTTTAAAGGATATTATTTTCAAAACTAAAGGCAGAGATTTTTATAAAGCCATGTCTACTGCAATCAGAGAAGACACTCGACATTTGGAAAACATTTCCTCAGCACTTCCTATGATATACAATAACTATATGGGGCCACAGCAATGGGAATATATCAAAGTTACCTACAGAGTGTGTTTTAAAAAAACAGCTGCAGAAAGACCTCCTTCAAGTGAATTAATCATTGGAGGTAAGGCCAGAGAAGTTGTAATTTTAAAACTCCCCAGGTATTTCTGATGTGTTCTCCTGGGTAATACCTGAAGAGTTAATATGTAAAAGTATGAAAATAATTTATATAGGCAAGGTAGAAAGTCTTTGTGGCATTCAAATTAAATTTTAAGCAATTGCACACTGAGACTAGCTCTTCTGAGTAAGGAATGTATTTGTTCTGATGTAGCCCTTACAGCATAGTTTGAAGAGAAAAACTCAAGAGGAGAAGGTAGAGACACAGCCAGGAACCCAACAAAAAGGAAGGAAAGAAGTCTGGACCAGAAGCAAATGAAGCACATCTTAATGGCTCATGTAATGGGGAAGCCACCAATCAGAACCAAGACCTCTTTTATTGAAATGATGTGGATTCTGCTCCTGATGATGATGATAATGATGATGGTATAATTGCTAATATCTCTTTTAAAATATCTTTTCAGAGATCACCTATATTTTCAGAATCAGTTCTCCACTCATTTTTATAGTTTTATTTAATAGAACACGGAATTAAGCAACCATAAGCTAGCTACTACTTGTTGATTCTAATAGATTCTCCCTGTGTCATAGAAGCTGATATGCTGGAAACTGCATTGCTGAGAATCCTTGTTTCAGTAAGCTTCAGCCAATGAGAGACCCTTGTGAGGAAATCAGAAGAGAAGGGAGAAAGTGGAGCTAGACCCCTCTGACAAGAGAGTTAGGCAGTCTTGAAGACGGAGTACATCAGACATAAGTTTACTGGAGCCTTCCCAGATTCCCTCACAACAACCACCTGCCTAGGATATGCAGACAACTGAGCCAACTGGCAGCAGCTTACCTGCAAGTGTCCACTTTCTGCTTCCTGAAAGCCTGAAGTAGTCTTGTTCTTTCCTCCCGAGCCTTTTCAATGGTAGCAAAACCATCTAATCCCGTCTAGCAAATGGTTTTCTATTCAAGATTACTTTGTGGCTTCTGTTACCCTGAAATCTGAAGGGCACAACCTCTAAAGTAATGGTTTTCAAACATAAGTGTGCATAAAAATACTTTGGAGAGCTGTGTAAAAAAATCAGTTTTAGCAATGCTAGAATTAGCCCAGAAAGTTGCATTTTTATCAAGCATTCCAGGTAATCAGAGGCAGAGGTCCTGGGTCCACATTGACAATCACTGCTTTCGTACACAGGTGAGGACCCTGAGCCCTGGGGTCTCAACCAGTTTCAGTGCAGAATATTCTGATTCCCAGAGCAGTTGTTTCATTTAAGGAGCACTTTCTGCAAATAAGTGGCCAAAGCCAAGTCTATTCCTACATGGAAGAAGTGTGATCATCCTGTTCTCCAAATTGCTCGCTCCAGGCAAACACATGATCTCTGAACAATTCCTTATCTATGTGATTGCTTATGAGGTGTGATAAAGTTTAAGGTGGAAGAGTGTATGGTTGGACCTGGGATCAGATCCTAACACTGCCACTTAGAGCTGCATGACATGCTGCATGAGACAACCTTTCTGAACCTCCAGTGATATACCTTACGGATACTTACCTCACAGAGTTGATCACTGGACACTTAGTAGGATTCCTCCTACCCTTCCATTCATATCCTGAAGTCCATGTCTAATGTACTTATTTTTTGATCATCATAAAACCCCTGTTTGACAAATAATTATTGATTTCTTGATGATAGCCATCCTTTCTGGAGTATGATGGAATTTCAGTGTTGCTTTAATGTACACTGCTCTAACGTCCAGAACTGTTGAACATTTTTGTCATATATTGGCCATTGGTACTTCTTCTGTCTATTCACTTCAGTTGCCCATTTTTTTGACTGGTGGGAATGTACACTACTACAGTCCCTATGGAAGTCAGGATGGAGATTTCTCAAAAACCTAAAGCTAGAAAGTCCATTAGACACAATGTAGGGAAAACTGAAGCCCAAGATCATGACAGTATAGCTCAGGCTGGGGGAGGGGTGCTTTCTGGAGGACCTGAAATCCTAAGTCAGCCTGACTCTAGCACAAGGGCAGTTCACAGTCTCAATATGAATAACATGTATAATCAAGTTCAGTACTGGCAAAGAGCCACTATTGTGTGCAGCACTATAAATGTAGACTGTTGCAAGAGTGTGCGGCTAGCTGGGGTGCTGAGGACTGCTGTGAGTGAGTGCAGCTAAATAAAGAGATGGGCTATGACTAAAGAGCTGGGCAACTGCACAGAAGTGAGCTGAGCTAAGCTGCTGAACAGCTGGAAATAAAGGCATATCGATATTCCCACAGCTCTGCCTCTCTGTTTCAAGTTGGATGGTTTTAAATGAATCTGAGTCTGAACTGATGAGATGATATCCAGATATTCCTGTTCATGAAAGAGGTAAAAACATCACATTCCATTAATACATGCCTACCCATGTTTATAGCAGCACAAGCTAAATCTTGAAAGAGACCTATATGTCCATCAGATGAATGAATGGGTAAAGAATATGTGATTCTTATACACAGTGGAGTATTACTGTGTGACAAAGAAGAATAAACTTGAGTTATATGTAGAAAAACGGTTACACCATGATACCATTATGCTAAATGAAATAAACCAGACACACTCTTAAACATCACATGGTTTCTCTTATATGAGAAACACAAATATAAATAAACAACAAAATATAATGTAGATAATATGAAGTAGAAAGATAGATCTTTTGCAAAAGGGGAGGGTGCTGAGAGATGGAGGGAGGGGGAGATGGGTAGGGAGAAAATAAGTAATTACTAACTACCAGATATGTGTCATGGTCTGCATTCGCTCTAAACAAAGACACATTGCTCAACCCATATGCTCACAAAAATTTCCCAGTGATGGGGGCAGCAGCTAAGGTGAGTGGCTTTCTTATAAAGTGCAGGTAGATAAGAAAGACATAAACACCAGTAGTGGTAGGTTAAAAGTAAACCTCATTTGATAATAGTGGTACATATTACAAGGAAGACCAGTGTGATGGGAAAGAACTGGTTAAATCCTACCTCTTATTGACCTACCTGATCTTTTACTACTCAAAAGCAGCTTTGCAGGGAGTTTGTCTTTTGAAGCAAGCCTGTAAGAATGTGGGCTCATTACCATTCGATAGTAGGGAGCATTTCTAATTTGAGCCTTTCACTTCTCATTTTATATCTTGTGAAATGCTTCCTAGGTTAGACTGCCAACACCCGAGGAGCAGAGTCCTGGATGCCCATTAACTTCCCCACATGAAACACAGCAGCAGTTCATACCTCTCCTGGTTCCCTGAGTGAGTGGCTGCTGGACATGATAACAGGCTGTCACTCCTGGGTATCGGAGCTAACCTGAGCCTCATGGGTGCAGGAGGACAGGAGATAACTTGTGTTAATTGAAGGAAACCTTTTTTCCCCTCCACAGTTCCCATGACAGTTGAGTGGACACAAAAGAAGACAGCAGAGAGCCTGAATTTGTACTTTTATGCATTTGGAGTGACCAGGCCAGACCCTGGGAAATATATGAGCAACATTCACCTCCAACAATTAGGGCCCTCCCTGATCATTGTCACACAATTAACTGCAACATGCTTTTCTGGCACGCACACCATCTCCTGGAGTGGTTTTATACTTGCCCACAGTGTTCTACCTTTCAGGTTCAGTTACTTATCTTTTCAGTTCTACAAATACCCAACATGTGTCCAATGCTTCCTAGAGTCCCTGCATCATTAAGTGCCTTGCACGCATTATCATATTAATTCTGCACAAGGATGTTAGGAGGTACACAGAATATTTTTCCTGCTTCACAGAGGAATAAAAAGGAACCTTAAGTCACACAGTGAGAAAGCTGCAGTCTTCATTCTGGCTTCAGAGCTCATGCTCTGCAGCACTGCCGTCAACTGCACACTCACTTTCATCCATGGAAAGGGAAGTGTGACACTGAGTTGGAGCAGCTATTGGAGAACATTTTCTGTGCACAAAAATCAACCACATGTGATAGGCAACAGGAAAAAGTGACTGCACACCAATAGAACATCACTAACAGACAAAGGCAGTGCAGTGTATTTAGCCTGCCCATTTTAGTTGCAAGCCCCTGAATTATAGGAATGTCAAGCCAAAGACGTGAAGGCTACCAGGTTCATCAAAGATAACCTTGGCTCAGTCGTTTGACATTTTTGTAGGACAAAGCTCAGAAGGCAGTTCTGTACCTTGAACTCCGAGTTTTGCTGTAGCGGTGCCATAGTTTGGATCCTGAGTGTCCCATGAAGGCCCATTTGGAAAAACCTTATTCCCCAGCTTGGTGTTATTGAGAAGTGGTGGAAACCCTAAGAAGCAGAGCCTACTCTGAGGGAGATTTTAGGTCTTGGAGGATAACAGGCTGAAAGGAATAGCAAACCCTGGCTCTTCTTCCTCTCTTCTATATCCTTGCTCTAAGGTGAACAGCTTTGTTCCTCTATGTGCTCTTTGCATGATATGCTGCCTCATCACAGGTCCAAAACCAATAGGACTGACCAAGTAGGAATTGATACCTCCAAACCTAAGAGGCAAAATTAACCTTTTATCCTAGCAAGTTAATTATCTCAGGTGTTCATTACAGCACCAGAAAGCTGACTAACACACCCAAGCATGGTATGACTGATCTGAACTCACTGTGTATCTGTCATTTAGAAGACAGAACACAGATTAGTCAGTTTTCCCACTGCCAAGCCTCTGCCCTACCTAACACACCTTCTCTGAAACTAGGACAAAAATCTCACTTAAGGGAGAAGTTTACTTTTGGCTCAAGGTTTCAGAGGCTTCAGTCCATGGTCAAACTGGCCCCAAGACAAAATCATCATGGCAGAAGGGCATGGTAGAGGAAATCTGCTGACTTCATGGCTGCTGAAGTGAAGAACTCCTGACAGGAAGAGGCAAGGACCACATATAGTCCTCAAAGTCACACCCTCATGAGCCACTCTGACGTACCTAGAAGTGTGCTTCCATCTTTACCCTTGTCTTTGGATATCCATCTCCAGGCTTCCAGCACAGACCCTTCAAGCTTTCAGCTCAGACTTTTCAGCCTTCCAAGGCAAACCCTCTGGCTTCTTGACATGAACTCACACGGCACTCTGCAGTGAGCTCCAGGCCTTCAGCTTTTGACTGGATCATCCAGCTCTCCGGCAAGCAGATGGCCCTTTTACCTTCTTCCTCACCTGACTCTGCAGGAGAAGGAGAACCTAGATTAGGTCATATAGTAAGAAGTGAACCCTAACTGATACACTCATTCTCATATGAATGAAAGTTATCCAGAAACAGAAAACAAAGTAGAAAAAGTGACTGGAAAATATAGACATGGTCTGCTAATAAGGGTAACAGTTACTATACGAAGAACTGCTCACCATTGCTGGCCATTACAGAAATGCAAATTCACACAACACAGAGGTTCTATCTTACTCAAAAAAGAATGGCCACCATCAAGAAGTTAAAAAGTAACTAATCCTGGTAAAGATATGGTGAAAAAGACATTTCAGCATTGCTGGTTGGAATATAAACTGATAAAGCCTCTGCAGAAATTAGTACAAAGATTCCTTAAGAAAGCAAAAGTAGAAATTGCATTTGACCTTTCTAGATATCTTCCAAAAAGAGTTAAAGACATCATATTACATGATCTGGGCATACTCATGTTTATAACAGCACAATTCATGATGGTCTCTGTCCATGAACAAATGAATGAGTAAAGAAAATGTGGTATTTACACCCAAGGGAGTACTACTGTGCTTGAGTCATTTGTAAGAAAATAGAGGCACCTTGAGACCATAATGTTAATTGAAATAAATCAAAAACACACAAGTTGAAATATCACATGGTATCTCTTACATGAGAAACTCAAATTATAAGTAAAGAGCAAAATAAAGAACAGATAATAGGAAGTAGGGAGCTGGACCTTCCTCAAATGGAAAGATCAAGAAATAAAGAGTGGGGGAAGGGAGGCCAGGGAAGGGGCTGAAAAGAGGATGTAGGCTGTGTTACATACCTGTGCCAGCTCCGCACAAGGGATATAAACATATAATCCAAACATGTACTAATAAAAAACTGATACATTTTTAAAAGAGCAATATTTAGCAGATATGTATGCATAGCATTTACCAATTATGTGTAATGACCAGGCAACACAGTTCCAATTATAAATTTGTACTTGATTGTGAGATAAACCTTTCTTGTAAGCTGAGCTTCACTGCAACAAGCTGTGTTCATACTCTCAGTTTTCAGTTTGTTGCACATGAACCAGGAGTGCGTCTGCTCACAAGTACGTGGCATAATACACAGCATCCCTCAACATCCTTGCATTTTTCAGAGAATCTGTGTAATGGCCACATCAATAAAAGAGAAAACTTCCTTGCTGTAAATCAGTACATTGTAGTACGAGTACATCACTGGGTTTGGAGTTAGAATATTAATTGCAAAACATTTATCAATGTGCCGGTACAGTACTAAGCAGAATGCATAAATTACCTCATAGTAACCTCCACAGCCTCAGGATGTAAACACTGTTATTATTTCCATATTACTAATGAAGAAACTGAGGCTTGCTTTCATATTAAATTTTTTCTCTCTTCCATGACACTGTGAGGTTTGACTGTCATTTCTTCACAAGAAAAATCATTACACCTTCAGGAACTGATAGATACATTTCAACATTTTCACACATAGGGGGCTGGGGATTTAGCTCAGCAGCAAAAGCGCTTGCCTGGCAAGCCCAAGGTCCTGAGTTCGGTTCCCGGTACCGGAGAAAAACCAAAACAAAAAAAACAAAACAAACATTTTCACACATGCTGGCAGAAGATCAGGACTGTGCATAAACCACATATGGCTGCCTCTGGGACCGCCATGCAGCTCTGACGTCAACCTCATCTAAGAGCTGAATATCAGAGTGGCCACAATGGCAGCCACTGGCAAGGCCCTCACAGGGGTGGAAAAGAAGCCGTTAGAAGCAAAGCACTGGGTGTACACATGGAAACACTGGGAGATCTTAAAAGGACCATATTGATTTTGATTTGAAAAATAGGATTGAAATATTTGACAGCATATGATTTCCATAATTTAAAAGGATGTCCGCCCACAGTATAAGTAAGATCTGATTTGTTCTTACATTTCTCTTCATGGTGAATGTATTGTGAACCCACCTGTGACAAAATGAACTCCACCCAAAGGTAAATACGTGAAACTACTTCCACATAAAACAGGAACACACATTTTAAAAGACAGACACACAATAAAGAAATATGAATTAAGTTATTAAAATGATTGCTGTAATGAATGGAAGGGAATGGAACTAGGGATACAAGTGAAGAAATAAAGTCCCATAGGTCTGGTAAAGAGTAAGGAGGATCATGAACTATCAACTAAGAAGTGTCATTATTCAGACGACTTGAATTAAGGGCCAAGAAAGAAATTTGTTTCTCAAGAAAAAGCAAAAAGCAAGTTTCCTTTATCTAAATGATTGCCAAACAATGAAAATGAGAATAAAGAAGAGACTTGCACAGGTGAAAGGTGGGGGTTAATCTAGTCTGAATCATCTACAACTCCCAAACTATACAATCTGAACTTCTAGAAAATAAAGAATGCCTGTAATGTAGCCCTGACAAAACAAGGGCACAGCCATCGGCAATGCAAAATTACTTTTATTGAGCTATGGCCTTGGCCCTGCAATATTTTCTCAGGGATAATCCGACAGCTCAATAATAGATTGAAGAGACATAGCCATTAATACATCCACTGTACTAATCCATTTCTTAAATTAACATTGTATAAAATTAAATGTCACACAAACAAGATATACTTGTTCATTAAATATACTTGAAGAGAGGGAAAGGGTAGTGATCTCTGGGGCTAATGGGTGCCTTTCATCAGCCCAGATATATTGAGACTCTTTGTGACATTGGATAATATAAATGGAGGGAAAATTGTGTCATGTTCCAGCCAGATATGGAAAAAAATTAAAAATTACATCATGGCATAAGAGAAGTCTTTGCTCCCTCTCAATTTCCCAAACACTGCATGTTGATGAGTCACAAAACATATTAAAAGCCACAGAATACTGAATAAAGGAAGGGGAGAGAGAGAGAAAAGAAAGAGAAATTGGTCTCCCACACCATTCATCTGACTGTGAAGACTTCAGGGAATTCATATACTTTCAAATACACATGGGATAGCCTACCTTTAAAATAAAGCACCCTACTATTGCTGTCACCATCTATAACGTCATTACCTGAAATATCAGTGTGACAAACACAGTATATAGGAACTGCTGAGATGCACAAGAAGTGTACCAGCATCTGATGGGTAATAGGAAAGCAACTTCTAAATATGTGATGATATTGATAATTACAAGAATGATGCCGGACTCCATAGAACTGAAACTCGATACCTATGGTATCTACCAGCCCAGTAATTGGGACCGGGCTTCATTCCTGGTCAGCATCACATCATCTACCCATGAGACAAAGAGTATGGCACCAGGAGGGTGTGGCTGAAGATTAAAAGATCACCTGTTGTAAGAGAAGGCAAGCCTGGAGTTGAATTCTAACTTTGCTACTTTGCCTGTTGTGTGATTTTGACCAAACTATTGCTATTTTTAGGACTTAAAATGGGAGAAATAACAGTGCCACAGACCAGAATTAAATTAGGTAAGATATGTACAGTTGTCCCTCCATGAGGGATTTGTTCCAAACTCCCATGCAGATATCAAAATCTATGGGTGATCAGGCTCCTTGTACAAAATGGCACGCTATTTATACATAACCTATGTAAATCTTCCCATATGCTTAAAAGTGTCTCTAGATAATTTATAAATTCTATATGAATAATATTATTCTGTGTTGTTTGGGAAACAATGATGATATGTACCATGCATATTCAATACACGTGTAATTATTCTCCCCAAATATTTTTGATCTGCAGTTGATTGAAGCCACTGATGGGGAACCCAGGGACATGGAAGGTCAATTGTAAACACTTAGTAAAGATTGTTGGACACAGGTAAGTACTTAATAAATACTAATCATTGCAAAAATTAACCTTCCAGTAAACTCCAAAGGATTTAATCGGGTGATATCCATTGATCATTCTCTACACAATGAGCACAGTGTAAGACTCTAGAAATACAGTGCTGGGCAAGCCGCTGATCCTACTGTCAAGCTTTTTAGTTATTTGAATTACTGCTGCTAAGATCAGCCATTAACTCCAGTAAATTCTAAATTCTCACTGGTAATAAATCAATGCACATAAAAGGAAAGACGTTTGTTTCCTTTACCAGACTCCACAACATCAATTTCCTGGTGAGGAAAACATGTGCATAAAAATTAAAAAAGCAGAGAACAACTAAAAAATAAAAACAGGGGGCATATAACCTTTTAAAAGAAAGCAGGCATCTGTAACTCTAAAGAAGGTATCATTTATGGAGTGTTTACCATATAGCAGGCACTGTGTTAAATAGTTTACACTAAATCTTTCCTTCCATCCCATGCCATGCCCCATATCTGAGAAAGGTGCGACAACTGAGACTTTGAGAATTCACAAATATGTCTGAAGACATACTGGATGATATGGGGGAGAACTGGAATTTAAATCCCCATTTCCAAAGGCTGAGTTATGTTGCTATACTACATTGCTTCCATATATGCAAAATATGGTACGATGCTTGTCACTGTGGAGCTGGTGGGAACTTAGATGCTATATCATCGAAATTTATCAATAAAAGAACAAACAAAGAAATAAAAAGTGACAAAGAAAAGTCACCAAACTATTTAATCACATAACCCAGGTTCGAACTTGGGCTTTTCCATTATACTACACTACATTTCACTCTATTTAATCAAGTTCTAGAGTAAAGAGTTTAAACTTACCTATATTACCTACTTTCCCATCTCTAGGGCAAAATCTGCAAATTAAAGGAGAAGAGGTTTATTCTGGCTCTAGTTTCCGAGGATTCAGTCCATGGTTGGTGGGTTGCAAAGCAGAAATGTTATAGCAGAGGGACATGGCAGAGGAACACTGCTCAACCCATGGCATCCAGGAAGTAGAGAAAGAAGAAAGGTGTTGAGTTCAAGCATGTACCCTTCCGGGTCATGTTTCCACTGACTCACCTTCAAACAAGCCCTACCTCTTAACAGCACATTCACCCATGAACTTATCAA